CCCTCCCAACATGGCTGACAGAAAAAGAAGAACAAGAATTAGCAATGCACAAAATATCGTTCACATTCAGACCAAAGGGCGAAATTTCTCTGATGTTGTTCTGCAGGTGGGAGTACAGCTTCAGCAAATCAGTTTCAAGTTCAATATTCTACAAGCCTGCCGCAACAACAATTGTAAGACCATGTCTAACATAAGAGAATCAAGAGCATCACCACAAACTTGACAAATATCATCACTACATATACCCCGTTTAGCTAAATAGCTCCGAACAGGCACCCCATTGTGAAGAACGCGCCAACCAAAAATTTTAACTTTCGGTGGAATTATCGCATGACGCTGATAACCTATGTAGGAATCGAACCTACATCTCTATGCATTTGCATAGTGCTCTACCACTTGAGCTAATAGGTTTTAGCATGCCCAACGGTTAAATAATGTACTGTAATTCAACCCTATGTTGTAAGCTTTTTTTCAATTTTCTAAAAAATGTTCAGAATATTTTCTAAAAAAAAAAAAATTCCCTAATGTTCTAAATCTATGTTTTGAGAGTTTTCCTATGTTCTAAATTGCCTTTTTCTTCTTTAGTAATAATAATAAATTGTTATTTTTTGCTGATATTTTTCAGAATTTTCTAAATTTCCTTGACCTTGTTGTCTTTCATGTTTCTATCAATGATTTTTATGATTTATAAGTAGTAAAGTTAACTAAAAATTGCTAGATACAATAACCATGATTGAGAATATAAAATAGATTCGTATAATCATATACGAAGTATGTTCTAATTTTATTTTTTTTTTGGCTAATCCTATGTTCTAAATTTAGTCCATTTATGTTCTAAAGTTTTTTTTTCCTATGTTCTAAATTTAGTCTATTTATGTTCTAAAGTTTTTTTTTTTCTAAATTTTTTCTACCTATGTTCTAAAGTTTATTTTCCTATGTTCTAAATTCTTTTGTCTATGATCTAATTATTTTTCCTATGTTCTAAATTTCCTACTGCCTATGTTCTAAACTAGTGCTCTAAATTTTCAATGTTCTAAATTAATTTATTGTCTATGTTCTAAATGTTTTCCTGTATTTAAAACATGTGATTTAAATTTTTTCTTATAATCTAAACCTGTACTCTAATTTTTTTTCTATGTTTTAAATTTTTTAAAGCCTGTGTTCTAAAATTTTGTTTTACCTATGTTCTAAACATGTGCTTTAAATTTTTTCCTATGTTCAAAACATTTGCTCCTTCACCACTCTTTTACCTATGTTCTACCCTGCTGCTCAGCCACTTAACCTTCACCACTCCCTTTCTTATCCTATACCGCATCTCCAATCCACATCCCTTACTAGCAGTAAAGTTTTCTGCCTATGTTCTAAATCAGTAAAAGTAATCTCCTTATGTTCTAAATTAGTTTTCTAATGTTCTAAATTATTTACCCTATGTTCTAATTTTTTTCTTGTGTTCTAAAGTATCTTTCTATGTTCTAAACCTTTTCTTATGTTCTAAAATTTTTCTTGTGAAATTTTCTCTCATGCTTTAAACTATCTTTCTATGTTCTAAACCTTTTCTTATGTTCTAAATTTTTTTGCCTATGTTCTAAATTTTTCTCTCATATTCTAAATTATTTTACCTATGTTCGTTCTAAACCCTTTCTTATGTTCTAATTTTTTTTTGCCTATGTTCTAAAATTTTCTCTCATGTTCGAAACTATCTTTCTTATGTTCTAAACCTTTTTTTATGTTCTAAATTTTTTTGCCTATGTTCTAAAATTTTCTCTCATGTTCTAAATTAAACTATTTTTCCTATGTTCTAAACCTTTGCCTGTGTTCCTCCCTTCACATTTTACAATTTCTCAAACCAAATGGGCCCCACCCAATACTCCACTAATTTTGACAGCAGCTACTTCTACTTTAAAATCGATAATTATCATACTAGAAAGCTACATTGGCATTGATATGGCCACATTGTATCAAGTTAAATTGCCCCCATCATGTATACAAAACCATCCTAACTTGCCAGGCATCTACAATTCATCTTGAGACAGTTAAGTTTGCAACATCATAAATTCATAACTCATAAGCATGGTATAAGACTATAAGTTCATCCACCTATTTTAAGCCTTTGAACTCATTAATAATGCCCAGCTAGGCAGCATAATCCTCCCACCCCTCCTTCCCTCTCTCTTTCTCCTCAGTCCCCAAGTTTTCCCTCAAAGATAATATATGTCAATCAATCAATCTAACGAAAGCACTAATTCATCCATCTAAAGGCCAACCAACCAATGATATCACTAACAATTAAGAACGCAATAAGAGGTATCACTAACTTAGAACATAATGAAAAAGAGTTTAGAACATTATGAGATAGAGTTTAGAACATCCTAAGCTAATTTACAATTCACAAAAGTCAATTAATTCATTTAGAAATTCCGAAATTACATAATTAGTTGCAAAACATAATAGACATACAATAAGTCATAAAAAAAAACTGAAAACATAGACTATTCAATAAAAGATTGAATACAGAGGTAGCAATATAATCGAAATACTACTAAAATGAAGCCAAAAAAACCAAAAAGAATCGCAGCAAAAAAAAAACAAACAAGAAATAATCAAGTAGTGCTGAAATTACCTAATATCGCTGAAATTCGAACACTAAAATTGCTAAAATTCGAACCCTAACTCCGCTGAAAATTCCAGCCCTAAAATCACTGAAATTTGAACACTAAAATCGCCGAAAATTAATGAAAATCAAATGAGAAAAATAAAAAATCGACTTGAAATCATGCTAAAATCAGAAAAATCACAAAAATCAAATCAGAATTTCGTGATTTTTGGAGAGAATTTGGGGGTTTTAGTAGAGAGAGTGAGGTAGTAAGTAGAAACTTTATAAAGTGTGGGTTATGGTTGAGGAGAGAGAAAATTTGGGGTTTATATATGGTGGTGGTCTGTTTTCATATTTACTATAATGCCATTACTAACATTCCTTTAATCTGGAGCGTCTATTACAATCTAATCCTACGGATTAGATTGGTTCTTATATATACTAGGTTCTTATATAAGGAGGGGTTCTTACCGGATCCCTCCCCTATATATATATATATATATATATATATATATATATATATATATATATTACTGGTACCTTATAATATACTCCGTAATACGTCGTATTAATTTAATTTGTTCCCACTTTATTGGAAACTACTCGATCGTATATGCTCATAATGATTGCGGTTGAACAAGTTGCATTGCCATGCGTTGATGAAGGTTGTTGAGGGGAAAGAATTAATGTAGTAACATATATATGAGCTAGTTCATGCTATTAATTTTTCTAATTACTTATATATGAAAGAAAATTAAAAAATTGTTCTCATCATTTATCTGAAATAAGGATCAAATAATCAAAGCTCAATTGGCTAATTATGGTCCCAACTCATCAACTTGCATGATCATGTGTTTTATGTGGGATATAAAAATAAAATGTGTGTGGTATGGTAGGGTAAACTAAATGGACCATAAATGCATAATTAACCTTGACATTATTTGTTGGAGCTTTCAAGGTTTTAAGATCATGTTTAGGTCAGGGTCCATTCGCCTATTATTTTGTTTTTACTTATTTTGAGTATAATAAGATAAGATTAGATTTAGAATTTTAGATTGACTAACAAGTTTAAATAAGTTTAGGGCTAAAAGCTTTTTTCTACAATTCTTCGTATTTTATACAGATTAGGAAGTAATACTTGCCTAAAATAATAGCTAGGTTGATTTAAGACCATTATTTTCCTGCCAAAATTAGTACAATTTCATGTTTGCATTTTGACAATTTAGCATCCAATATAAGGGGGACATGAATACGGTGTCCAAGTTAGTTGTAAGATCAGGTTAGATTAGTGCTATATTTTGCGCTTTAATTACACTTATCAAAATCAATTCAGCTTAAACTATTGAATTGTACACTACTTAACTAAACCAATCCCCTTCGGCAAATAATATGACTTAAATCAATTGTTTTTGAAGTAAAGTGTTATAAGTCGTTCATGTTACAATGTACAAAGTATATATATTATCGATTTATCGTTGAACCATTGGATCAAATATCGGATTAAGTGAAGAGTGTGTTGAGTATAATTGGGCGTGTGGCTTGTGTGTGGTTGGAACTAGTGTTAATAACAAGATTATTGGTGTAGCTAACTAAAGAGTGTTGTCGTATAGTGTTCCTTAGAAGTTATTAGTGTTGTGTACTCTGTACGAAAGTTGGTACAAGCAAGACTGTAGATGATGGTGGTCCGTGGACCTAGCTTATTAATAGATCTAGTAGGGTTAAAAAATTTAATGGACAATTAGACACATAACAACTTGAATATACAAGTATATATATAAGGATGAGAATACATGTATGCATTAGTAGTGCATTACAAGTTCAGATGTCACAACTCCTTATTGTGATGATTATGAATATAGCGGCTAAATGGCTAATCATCCACTACTTTAAGTTTCAATCGTATTATTAGAGAGCTAATTATACATTTTACACGTAATAGAATGAAGTTAGTAGAATATCGGCAAAACAAAAACTTTTGTATACATCCGGTTTACACTAATATTAGTGTACATCGAGCAGTATAGGGGTAACTTTAAGCCAATTTAGGGTAACTTTTTGCCTTTTTATAGGTAACTTTGAACATAATATGATTTTTTTTATAAATCGAACAGGAAAAGTTTTATAAGGGTGATAAAATTACTTTCAATCACTAATAATTGAATTTTAGTCATCAAAAGTGGTCTCTTGTTTTAAAAAGAGAGACCACCTATATCAAATAAATGGTCTCAGCTTTTCAAAAACTAAGACCACCTATTTCAGATAGATGGTCTCAGCTTTTCAAAAACTAAGACCACCTATTTCAAATAGATGGTCTCTTTCTGTTTTCTTTCTTAAAAAAAAGTATTCGTTTTTAATATATACTACGTATATAATTTCAATTAAACAAATACTATATACAACTCCTATATCATTTACAGCAAAAATACATAGATGTAATTCATATTTGCAAAATTTTATACATTTCAATACTCATACAACATACTCATTAATAATACAATCAATATTCTTGCAAAAAATTATACAAACCCCATACTAAAAAATACACAATAATGCTATAATCCAAATTCGATAAAAAAAGGCCTTGTACTTGGTGATCTTGTGCAACAATCTCGCCAGCCGAACTATTTAACAAGTAATCTTCTTCATTTACACTTTTTACCCTGAAATTTTTTCCAAAACATCCAAAATTAACAAATAATAATAATAATAAACGAACAAACATTTGAATTAGCAATTACATTTAAAATTGCAGAAATAAAAAAAGTGAAAATTAAAAACTTAATTCAAAATCAAATCAAAAAACTAGAAAAGACGAATGTAATTTTCTTTGAACACCGTCAATCACACAATCATTGTACCTTAAAAACAACATGCAAGATAACACAATGAAGAATGAACTCATAAATCATCACAACAACCGCAAAATAAAAAAATAAATAATAAATAATATAAATAATAATAAATCATCATCATAACAATTCGCAACAATTAACTAAATAATAAAAAATAAAAACATCAATTAAACACATGAAAATTACCAGCTACAACAAACCTCAAATTAAGCTACAAAAAAACACGAAAACACCCCAAAAAATAAAGAAAATAAAAAAGAATGATAAAAAAAATGAGTTCACACCAAGATGAGTTCCAGGAGCAATAGATCCTCTGTCCGCCTTCCGCCATAAAAGACGATCCAAAAACGTAAGCTGGAGATTAATTGTCTTCTGAGATGACAATTAAAATAGTAGAAAACTATAAACAATAATTTGATTAAAAAAATTTAACACAAATAGATGGAAAAAATCAGATAAAAAACGAAAATTCCATACAAATACTAATAGATCGAAAATGTAGCAAAAAATCAAAATTCCCAACAAAAAGAATAAAATTCAGATAACATAACGAAATTCACAACAAATAATAAGATATAATTGACAATCAAACCACCAAAAACATCAAAAACAATGAATTTGAAATACATACTAGAGGACGGAGATTTGTCGAGCAAATGCTAGAAGGAGAAGAGATCTGGGCATAACTCTCGTGAAGGAGATCAGGGCGGCTGGGCGCAAATCTCGGTGGCTATGAAAGGTGCCAAGGTGGGGTGGCGACCTCTAGTGAACGTAGAGAGAAGAGGAGGAATTTAGGGTTTTACTTTAGTGTGAGATTGAAAGTGAGGGTATTTGTCTGATTATTATTGTTTTAGAAATATTCATTTTTAGAAGAAAAAAAAAAAATTATCTAATCTCAATACTTAATACTTACCCTTTAAATTAGAAATGAATTCGAAATCTAAGGTTTGATTTTTTACACATGGCAATTCGTGTAATACTAGTAGATTAGATCAAGAGTATTTTTAAATTTAATCAATTAATTTAAAAGATGTAGAGACCATTTCTTTTAAATAAATGATCTCTCTTTTTTTTTTTTTTTTTTATTAAAAAAACAGAGATCACTTTTTGTAAATAGTTAATCTCTCTATTTTATTTATTTATTTAATTAAAAAAAAAAGGAGAGACCACTTCTCCTAAATAAATGGTCTCTCTTTTTTAATTTATTTAATTAAAAAAAAGAGAGACCACTTTTTTAAAATAAATGGTCTTTGGTACATTTTCATACCTCTAGGATTATACATAAGAGACTATTTATTTGAAATATGTGGTCTCTTGAATCCAAGAGACCATATATTTATTTAAATGGTCTCTAACTTAAGGTCTCTTTGAGCATTTTTGTAGTAGTGCGAGCTATGTCTTATATATATATATATATATATATATATATATATATATATATATATATATATATATATATATATATATATATATATATATATATATATATATATATATATGCGCAAGTAGATCGAATATGCTTGAGCGTGGTACATTTTTTTTTATTGTGTCGAGTTGAGACAGGAACATGCGGTCTTGTAATTACTTATTTTTACTTCAATAATTCACCATCGATTTGAATGTCATTTATTTTGCATCAACTTTTGTAACATATGCCATTTTATTATTAGTATTTTTTATTATTTTGATGTGTGTTGTCTAAAATAATAAAATAACAAAAAAAAAAACCTACACAATTGAATTAATCATGCAAGAGTAGCTAATTTTTTTTAATTAATTAAAAAACTATTTTTCTTTTATATGTGTTGATTGCTTGTCAATTTTCCTTTGAACCATCAAATTAATATCTTTAATGGCTTATAAGTGATAGATGGCCTTAGTCTTCATATATGAGTATATTATAATCCAAATCAATGAAAAAAAGATCCGATTAGTTGTTAAATAAACTTTCTAATCGGACTGCAACCTTTATAATCGTGACAATTGGCTATGAAGATTCCATCTTTACCAAGGAAATGGCAAGAATCTGAATCTCATTATTATTATTATTAAAGAAAACAAAGTCTATGCACACAGTTGTACACTACACCTGCCTTGGATTTTTTGTACACTACGGAGTACAATTTATTGCTAATATTTAACTTTGATCATCAATATCTCAAAAAAAATTTAATGGAATTGGTGGGGCTCGAACTTGTGACTTTACTACAAAATGTTTGAGGGTAGGGGGATTATCTTACCTCCCCCCTTTACTCTTAAGCGTCGACCTGTATGCGGAACTGGGCTGGCTAAACCTGTGTGAGGTGTCGGTTCAATAGGGTCTTTCATTTTACCTTTTAAAATTTCATCTTACCTAAAAAAAAAAACTCAAATTATAAGAAGTACTGTACATAATGGATTAATGGTATATGAGTTTTTTTTTTTTTCCCTTAACAAGTTTTTATAGGCACTCATTAGATAGAACGATTAATTATCACTTTAAGACATCTCTAATATTACGTGCCAAAATTAATTAATACAGTAATTGGATGGTAATGATGAATACAGACAAATGCGTTGCTTAATTATGGATTAATACATACTTTATAGTTTATATTAGCCTATTAGGTGGACCAATTCTCACAAAACTACATTACAACTTACAAGGTCTACAATTAGTTCTTAATATAATTTGTCAATGACTTTAGAGTGTTTCCCGGAATGCAACTTCATACTTCCTCAGATTAGGGGTACTGTCGGATGTTCCAAATACTATGTACTAACTACTAAGTATGTGTTAAATAATTTAAGTTTCCTCCTTTTATGTTTAAAAAAACTTAATTGCGTGTTGCTAGTGAGAAGGGTTTCCTAATTAATAAATTAAATTTTAGTAGGATGAATTATCTGGCCTCAAACTCTCATTTCATCGATTATCCATTCCATATACATTTGCAATCGATCAATTACTTAGTGACTGAAATAATCTATCTACAAATACGAAACATCTTATATTTTAGCTTCTTTTTATTTAGGGTGTTAAAGAGAATTATCATGGATGAACATCATTGAAGGAATTAACTCAGAGATTTTTAGAAACGCATAAATTGCATATATATAGTATAAGTCATAACTCAGTGCAATTACTATATATGTATGAATGGTCCATCATATAACAAACGTGTTATGTGCGCAACATGTCAATTATGACCAGCAACAATGATATACTATTACGTATCCCTTATGAACTAAAAAAAGCATGATTAGAGAAAGAAAAGGAAAGGAGAATCTCGTTTTCATGTAAAAACTGGTTGCCCCGCTTCTTACTTTTTTTTAGTTATACAACTGTTAATTTTTTAAAGACATTTAATAGTTTGTATGTGTTTTCAATACTTTTGTAGTATAACATAAATTTGTGGGCAAAATTGTAACATAAGTGATAATTAATTAGATGGTTAAACAACGATTTTTCTTCTTAGAGGTTGAGTGTTTGAACCTCTTTGTCCACATATATTATTTTTTTATTAATTAAGTTGAGGCATTATATAGTGCTATTGTTGGTTACATGGGTGACGTGGCATATTGAAAGAGAATTGAGTTGATTACATGGCGTATTAAGAAATTGAGTATATGACGTGGCGCAATGAGGAGTCTATGTGGCAAATAGATGTTTTTAGAAACGCCTTTTAATAGATTAGTATAGATTATACTCACGCAAATTAAATGGGAAAAGTGATCATTCTTAATAAAAAGAACTTCGATTAATTTTTACGACATTTATTGGTAGAGGAATACTCCGTGGATTTTTTTTTAATAAAGATTGATCCAATTCATAAATAAAAAGTTATAATATTTACAAAGACATTTATATCTAATAACTACATGATAATTAAATCAAATAAAAATATTCTTTTATTGGATTGTCAAATGACACTCCTAGCTACGGTAGAGGTGTCAATAATTCGGGAACTCAGGTCACGTTTGGCAAAGTCAATTGGGGTTGTGTCCGAGGAAGTACTAATGTAGGTTTGATATGTATGTGCAAATACATATCAAACATTAAAATATTGAAAAGTATTGTAAAGCACATGGGGGTGGGAGAAAATGAGGAGAGAGATGGGCACGTGGGACCGGTTTTAAATGTACCACTGAAAGCTTATATAATATCATTGACTATGTAGTGATACTATTTCTACACGTAGTTAGTACCATTGAATGAATATACAGTACCATTGAATGAATATATAGTACCACTGAATGTTCAATGATACTATTTGATCATCTAGTGATACTATTAATCACCCAGTGGTACACTTAAATTCAGCACATGGGGGTGAGAGAAAGGAGGAGAAAGATGGGTAAATTTCATGCGAAATGTCTCTTATGCCCCTTGATATATATGTATGTCCAGGTACCTATCAAACCTCCCTTTGGAAGGCCTCGGTTGTGTCCATACGAGAATCTAAATTAGGTATTTTTTGAGTGAAATCAATTTGTGCTGGCCGGTTAAGTTTTTGACACCAATCCTACCTCCATCCTATGCTTATACTTGTGCATATGCGGTATAAAGTAATATTATTGCTAAGGAAAATTTGCAAATTGCAGCCATTTAAAGTTCGTATTTTGCAAATTACATCCATTTAAATTTTTTTTTTGCAAATTGCGGCCTAAAAGTTCGTATAAATTGTAAATTGCAGTCCGATTCAATTTTTTCATCGGTTTACATGTTGAAAAATATTCGGTTAAGGTTTTAGGGGTCATTTTAGCCCTTAGGGGCCCGAATTGAGCTCGGAATCAGCAAAAAATTAACGTAAGTGTCTCATATTTACAGTTTCCCACAAATCGATACATTTTTGTTACGCAAAACGAGATACTTACGTTATTTTTTTGCTAATTCCGAGCTCAATTCGGGTCTCTAAGGACTAAAATGACCCCTAAAACCTTAGCCGAAGATTTTTCAACATGTAAACCGATGAAAAAAAAATTAAATCGGGCTGCAATTTACAATTTATAGGAACTTTTGGGCTGCAATTTGCAAAAATAAAATTTAAATGGCTGCAATTTGCAAAATACGAACTTTAAATGGCTGCAATTTGCAAATTTTCCTATTGCTAAACTATAAAATAATTGGTAAAAAAAAAAAAAAAAAAAAAAAAACCGTACATATTCTACTATATGGATCTACTATTAGAAGACACAATCCGTTGTTGGCAATAAGGGCATAATGTCATATTCATAACATCAACCTCCTTATTGCTTTAATTAATTTCATCTGAAACTAATTATATGTTTGGTTATCTCGTGCACTCTTTCATAATTAAGGATGTAACGTGAACTTAATTACTCAAAATACCCTGTAAGGATACTGAGTGGTGTTGTGTTGATTAATGCGGAACAAGTCAATGAAAATTAATTGAGAACGGGAAAATAAAAGCAACAAAGAATATAAACAAATTAAAGAACACAAGGATTTACGTGATTTAGTCAAATTAAACATACTTCCACTGTCCACGTGTGAGGAATAATTGATCGAAACTATCGATCTATAGCTCGGGAGCTAGATCCAACCTACCGCAAGCTCCTTAAGGCCAAGTTAAGCTATAGCTCATCACTCGCCTAGAGCTGTAGCTCGATGCTTCTATGTTGATGAAGCTCACTCATCTAGAGCTATAGCTCACCCTTCATCGAAACTTTAATTTCTTGTCTGCGCACTACTCCTTTGCTCGTTACTTTGAAAACCAATTCAAGACATATTATTTCAACATACTCCTTCTATGACTAAATCAACTAGGGCAACTAATACAAGTTAGAAGTGACAAATACTTCAATTATTTTAATTTCTAGTTTCCTTTCTTCTTTTCCTTTACTTTTTGATATGACGAGTGACATGAGACAACCAATTCAAGTCTTAATCTTTGTACTGCCTAAACTTTATTCATCACTTGTCGGCCAAATAAACTGAAGTACTTATTTATCATAAATAAACAA